CTTCTGAAGGAAGGCTCGTTTGGGGGTTTTTGGGTTGTTTGGTGGTTTTTTCTTTTTTTTTTCCTTAAGCTGTGTGGGAAGTGCTTTGTGAGAACTGGGCTTGGTTTCTAGGTAAAATTTGATCATGCTTTACCGTCAGCTCTGAATTCAGATGTGGCATTCACCGTCGCAGCTGTGTAAAAATGTGTTTAGAGGGTAGCTGGAGACAATATGCCGACCGGGTTAATGCTGGGAACTGTTTCAGAAGCCCTGAATTGCTCCTCAGCTTAGCTCCGCTTTTTTTTTTTTCCTTTCCTTTTCCCCAGGAGTAATTAAATTATGAATACTGTACAACTGAACATCCTTTTGGATTTCAAGCTGTTATTAGCTGCTATTTACAGAACTTGCAAATCTGCCAAACGCACGTATCTGACATCTTTACACATTACTAGCAGTGTCTCTTTATTTGACATCCAGGAACACGCAGCAGCCAGAACACATGGATGTTCACGGCAGCTTGGCAGTTGGAGAGGCAGAGAATCTGTGGCGAGTCTCCCAAGTTCCAGGGAAGGCTTGCTTTTCCTCGTCTGCGCTGTGAAGCTATTCTTAATGAAGTGGATTTCACTTTTAAACTGCTGCCTGTTTCTGTTTGCACGTTTTTATGCCAGAATAAGGGATTAAAGTAAGAAAAAGAATGCCCAAACAGGAGTCTCAAGCTACTGATTCCTTATTACTAAATGTCTTACACCAGAATAGTTTTATTTCTAGCTAGACAAACACTAAGCCTTTTCAGAAAGGTAGGATGTCAAGGTTCCAAGTTAACTGTTCTGTGAAAATACCTTTACTGTAATTTTTCCAAGTGGTAGTAGCTAGTATTTGGGCAATAATCTAAGAAAGAATATGAGGGTACAGGCAAACAATTGTTATAGGAACATAAATCACCTTTTAATATTATTTTCCTTTCTCATTATTGATAACTTAAATACTAGAAGAAGAAAAGAAATGTCATAGCAATCTCCTTATCCTCTTTTCAGGCGGAAAGCATTTAATGCAACAGTAGAAAAGTAAAAGCTTTTTTTTAAACGTTGAGGAAAAATTCAATGCAAGGCTGTATGTCTATGCTATACTGTATATACCTGGGGAGGGAACCATCTGCATCAGTCTAGCTCAAACACCATTATTCTTTTCAGCTGAAAACATAGTTATAAAACAGTTCAGTGTCAGAAGACGTAGCTTATTCAGTGAAGGGTGTAGCCTAATATGGCACACCCAGTCCAGGTGTGAAAATAACTGAAGATCAGACACTGACACCATTGCCTTTTGCCTTCCCAGGAAGAATTCAGGTTCTGCAGCTGATGTGTTTATTTGATGGCAGCCAGTTGTGCTAGCCACTGCTGGAGTTGTTGGTTTTGGTGATGCTTACTGGGACAGAGTGTTTTGCTGAGGATTTAAGAAAAATAGCAGTTATTGTAAGATTAATAATACGGTCACAAGGATTGGCAACATGGACATTATTCTGCTGTATAACTGTTAAGTAGCAACAACCCAAGAATATCCACATGCTTTAAATGTGTTAAGTGTGTTGCGTGGCAGGAGGCCAAAGCGCAAGTCATCAGTCATCTGGGAAGTGTAAGTGGCCTGCCTAATTCCTACCACTTTTTAAAGTGTTTGGTTTTCCGTAATAGCTGCAGGGGTTTGGAGCAGGGTATAGCATAAGATCAGGTGGTTGAGTCTGAATTGCCTTGTTTAGACTTGCTGCCACATAGTCCTTGATCTTACAGGAGAACTTTTGCATGCGTGAGCCCAACTGCGGTTGTGATACTCAGACATGGGTTTAAGTACCACGTTAAACATAATTTTTCAGACATGGTTTTAAAATACCATGTTCGATATTTTTTTTTTTCCCCATCTGACCTATTTTGCTTATCTTGAAATGGGCATTTTGGGATGAAGCTTAATAAAATGTATAAGGTTTTTGTTACAATGTTTACAAATAGTTGAAAGTTCATGCCTAAAACCTGCATCCTAAGTAGTACGTGTGCTTTGATATTTCTCCCTTTTTAGTGGGTGGTAAAACCCTGCTCAGCTGCAGAGTACCAGAATGGGAAAGCTTACTTGAAACATTACTCGCAACTTTTTTTTTTGTTTTAACTTTAAAAATTATTTTCAAAGATGGCTACAAAGTCTAATAACTTCACCAGTATAAGCTGAATAAACTGAATATATCTAATAGGCTAAGGTGTATGTAATTCTCAGTGTATGAATACATGTTCTTTTTTTATTGTTTAATTGGTTTAGGTCCAATGATGACACTTCTCTTGAGAGGCAGCCAGTTTCTGCAGAAACCTTGTTCCAGCATTTAACGCCACAGATACCTGAAGTCTCAAGAAAAGGCAAAGCAGGTTTCTCGATGACTAGCAAAGTGAGTCCTGACTTTACAGTGAATGATGCTCTATGAAAACAAACTTTGTGAAACTTTATCAAGATTTGAAAGTAGTTTAGTGCATCATGAAGGTGGCTCCAGCCTGTTACATTGCAGAAGGGGTATGTTGTCAGCTCTTCCAAGCCCTGTCCCCATGTGTGTATAGTGAAGGACGTCAAAAACCCCAGCCACAAACATCAGGCCTTTGGGGACTGTTGTCTGTGAGATACTGCATAACTTTATTCACTTCTGGAGGGATGTTCTTATGCCTCAGTATTACTTCTTCCTGTTTCCTGAATTTGCTGCGCGTCTGAGATGTTCCAAATGGTCTTAAAAATTTTCACCATCTTTCTTGTTACTGGTTCTACATCTGGCTTTAAATACAAAACAGGTGAACCTACTAGTATAGTACTCATTTTGGTTTGTTTTTTTCATTTTTTTAAACAGCGCATTTGCTCTGGCTTTTTTCCTTATTAGCTAGTTGATTTTAGACTCCTCTGTATGAGGAATTATTAACCTTCAGAAGACTTAAATTATCATCAGAATGAGTAGGATATCAGCTGGTTTTTGTCAGC